CCCCCCCCCCCCACGTGACACCTGCTTCTTTAATTCCAGGCTCACATTAAATCATGACTCTGACAAGCGTATTGTAATTTGAATGCACGGTGGCTCACGCGCTCACAGGGGAGGCGCCCATGCTCCTGCCCCGCTCACGGCCTCCCTCTGATCTCTCGGCCTCCCTCTGATCCCACGGCCCTGAGGCAGCCTGGTTTTCCCCCAGCCCCCAGGGACACGGTTTGCTTCTGCTCAGCCGCCTCTCGCCTCCCAACCATCCCCCGGCCTCCACCGTGTGCACAACCACGTGCTGCACGCGAGCTCTCCCGCACTCTCGGGGCTGCTTGGGGATCCCGCCTGGCATCGGGCAACACACTTCATCCCCAGCTCTGCTCTGAGCCTTCCCTTCAGGCCTCCGTGTGCCCACAGGGCCTCTGCTCATGTCCTGACCCCACGCTGCCAACCCTCCTGGGGACTGGGCTTCGGGCTTCCCCAGCACAACACCACCTCGCTGGGAATTGCCGTCGCCTCGGTTTCCCCGGAGCCTAAATGGTTGTGCACAGCTTCGGGATGGCCCCTTACATCTACAAGTCGTCTCCTGCTCCTTCCTGACACACACCAGCTCACCTGGGACACATCCCTGCCACCTGCCCCGCGGAGAGGCGCTAGGGCCGAGCTCCAGCCCCCTCCTCACCCCTGCTCTCAGGGCCTTCCCGGGCCGTCGCTCACGCACTGCGGTCCCTCCTCGAGCCGGGGCCATTACTGAGTCCCGGCTGACATCTCTCCAGAGCTCCAGGCAAGTATTCGAGTGCAGTTTATAAAGAGCACACAGAATAAGACTGGCTAAGTGGCATTTAATACCTAGACACCACTTTGAACCAAGAGCAATTCACTCGAGTGTCTAAGTCGGCGGAGAGCGCACGAGACTCTTCCGCAAACAAACAAGGGTGTAACAGGCTCCTTCTGTTTCTGAGCGAGCACGCCCCCCACGCGGAGTGAGGGTACTAGGATAAACCGAGGCACACGGAACAGCCAGTTAACTGCGAACGGTGTAACGGCAGCGTGCTCATCTGAGATCTGAGATCCCGCGAAGTGAGAAAAGTGTCCCCAGACTACAACTTCATGGGGGGGTTGCTAAAAATAGCCACGTTAGCCCATTTTTCCTGGAACGGCTCAAACAGAAGCAATTCCTGTTGAGGCAACTTTGCAGTTGATTTTGGCCGCTCGCTGGAAGACGGGCGGTCGGTGCAGCGCTGACGTGGTCCCTCCGCGACGCAGGTGTTTATTTTGTATCACAACACGACTGCACTTGTTTCGTGACGTTCGTGGCGATATTATTGCCGAGCCGTAAAACTTGGGGTTTCCGCGTAGCCACGAGCACGGACGCGGCCGCCCCGAGAGGCAGCCACAGCTCCGGTGGCTGATCATCCCGCGGTGTCGGTGGGCGCTGCTGCCCCCAAGGGTCCTGTCCCCGAGGCCGCCCCCACCCCGCACGCTGGGGCCTCGGCACGGCTCCTGACTTTAGTCCCTGGGGGGGTCCTGCTGGCGGGGGGGTTTGTGGGAACAGTGCTCACAGACACCCGACCGCAACAGGGAGGCTGCTTGTCCCTCGGGGCCCCGACACCCCGCTGGCGGTGCCTCTGTTCAAAGGCACAGCACCCACGTGGACAGAGGCCCTCACAGGGGCCCACGTCCACGCCCAGGCGGCCACGGGCTGGGCCCGTGTCGACGGCTCCGTGTCCTACTAATCCCACAGGAGCCCCACGAGGCAGCAGCCCTGCAGCCCCATTCCCAGAGGACACTGGGGCACAGAGAGGCGACCCCGTGCGAGGTCGCACCGCCGACAGCGGGGCTGGGCCTCCAGGCAGAAAACCGGGGGCCTCCCAGCTCTCTGCTCTAGGGGGTCTCTCGGCGAATCGGGGTGACCTCCCAACTGTGTAAGCGGCTTTGCCAAGGCCGACTTGCGAGGCAGCCCGTCTGCCGGAAGGACCCCCGGGCCCCCGGGACCAGAACCAGGCGGTTCTCCCCTCGTGAGTCCGCATCTCTGCCGTGGATGGCTCAGGTGCGCGCGGGACCTGGAGCTCTCCTCCGAGCCGGCTGTGACACCTGTGACCCCCGCTGATGTGTGAGTCGCGTTCTCTTATCCCCGTACCAGGGACTTGATTGTACGTTCACAAAACATGCTCTAAACTCCACGCCTGCCTCCGAGGGGCCAGGTGTTAACCAAGTGCTCAGGACACAAAACTGCCCAGCACCACTGCTGCCCCGGAGCCGGAGCCAGAGCCAGTCGGGGAGGCAGGTACGTGAACACAGCTCAGGACAGATGCCCCAGCCCAAGCAGCCAAGCGTTTGGTGCTTCCAGACAGACTGACAGATCCTGTGAAAATGAGAGACAAACCTGTCGTGCCCGTTAATTATTGCCCCCCGCCCCCAAACACTGTAAACAGATCTTCTAAATGTCCATTTGAAAAGCGGTGGGGCGTGAGGTTGTGTCACAGGGGTCACAGAAAGACACGGAACGGACAAGCAGTCCACCTGGGCACATGACACCCCAGGCCATCTCCGGGGGCAGAGAGGGCTATGCTCCAGGCAACAAAAATGGGAGTGAAGTTGGAAGTCTGGCCTCCCACACCCACATCCCCGCGGTTCGTAGAGAGAAATTAACCAAAACACAAGTCTTTTGGAATCTCGCCATTCGGGAAGGATACGGTTGGGATGGGCTGTCTTCCCCTGGGCGTGTTCCATGATTCCCAGAGGCTGCGGCCAGCGCTAAAAGGACGCATGGAGAGAATGTACCGAAACACAACAAAGGGAATCTGTGACTGCCGGGCGTTTCCAGAAGCTCTCGGGCAGGAGGGGAGGTGGGAGGGGCTGAGACCAGCTGGCAAAGTGGCAAAGGGACGGGGCGGGGGGGGGGGGGGGGGGGGGGGGGGGGGGGGAGCCAGGGTGGAGCCCGGTCACAGCAACCTCATCCACATGCCGGGGAGCCCGGATCGTATCGCAGAAGCGACTGGGAAAGTAGCCCGAGAAGCTTCGAGGCAGGAGAAAGACACTCTGGACCTGTGTTTTCCAAACATGGCTTGGGCGCGACGTGGGGGAACAGAGACCCGAGGCCCCAAAGAGGCCGGGGCTCAGGCTGGAGAGAACAGAGGAATCTGAGACACACTGAGGAGGTGCGATCAGTGAGACCCAGGGAGGGAACAAGGACAAGGTCATTTATCCCAGGTGCTTTGGACACACAGGTGGCAGCCAGTACAGGTGGGCCAGGGGACTGAAGGTCGGGAGGGAGTTGCGGGTGGACGTGGGACTGTAGGAGTCGCCGGCCTGACTTACAGCTGAGCTGAGTTACCACGAGCGGGACAGACGCTGTCGTCCTCAGAAAGGCCTGCTTGCAAGGCTGGCCCTCGGCTGACTTGCCCGGTAGTAGCTCCTGCCACCGATCAGGGAGGGCGGCCCCGCTGGGCACCAACAGTACGCTTTCTGCTCAACACCTGCTCGCCTTCCGGCAGCCCAGAGTTCTGCTATGTGCCAGGTGGAGGGCGCCCCTTTGTCGGCCCCCAGTAGCCACCCCAAGCTGTCACAGTTCCTTGCTGGACGAGCACAGGCATCCTGTGTGACTCTGCCCTCAGAATCTCCCGCCTGCTTTTCTCCTGAGTTGGCCCCAGGCGTCTCTTTCCTTTGCCAGTTTTGCTTTATACCCTTTCACAGCAAGAAATCTTCACCTTGAGTCCTACTATGTGCCGGTCCCATGAGTTCTCCTACGAAATCACTGAACCTGGGGGTGGTCTTGAAGACCCCGACACAGAATGTGGTCAATAATTTTTCAAATAAACAAACTGGGTGAGTTCAAGTCAACTGGCTGAAAAGAATTCTAAATATGTATTGACTATCCTAGACCAGTAGTTTTGAAGCCTTTTATTTTAGTTTAACTTTTTTTTTTTTTTTTTTTTTTTTTTTTTTTTTTAGAGAGCGAGCGAGCGGGCACGAGTGGGGTTGGGGCAGAGGGAGAGGGAGAATCTTAAGCAGCCTCCGCGCCGTGGAGCCCAATGCAGGGCTTGATCTCATGACTGTGAGATCATGACCTGAGCTGAAATCAAGAGTCGGATGCTCAACCAACTGAGCCACCCAGGCCTTTTAAAACAGCAGGATTCCTATATATCTAAGTTTATGAGCGAAGACGTTGGTATTTATTTATTCATTCATTCATTCATTCCTTCTGCTTGTCGGTAAGACCTGTAAGCACAGAAACCCACCTCCTGCCCACAGTGGCATCCCAACACCTGACCCCAATGCCTATACGCCTAGACTCAACTCAGTGGGATGTTTTCATTGAATATTTTATGAATGCAGTGAAATAATTTAGGTTCAGATGCATGACATTTACTTAATATGACACCAGCTAATGAGAATAACAAAGCTAGTCTGATGAGCCAAAGAAAAAGCCCCATGCTTGCAATTCAGAGGACCTCACATACGATAGTGAAAACCTTATGCCAACTCAGTTTCCACGTAGTTCAATTCAGAAAGCAGCACTCTTAGAAACACGTTCTTTTTCTTACCGACTTGTTGTCTGGAAGCAGGAATGTAAGCCGACCAGGAAAGGGTTGCTGGATGCCTGCTCAAACACATGCTTCTCTGTCTGTACCCAGTCAATATCCTGAAATAGAAACCAGGGTGTGTTAATGAGGCTCCCAAACACCCTTCATCCTGGAGAAGGGGGGCAAGAGAGACATGTCTCTCACCTCTGCTTGCAAGAAGACAGTGCACCCAGGAAAGGAAAATGCCCACTAAGAAATATATCACCATCACCACCCCCGCCATCACCACCATCATCACCATCAGCACCTCCGTCACCACACCTCCACCTCCACCGCCAGCTCTGTGCTGGCCTCTGGGTTGCAGGCTCTCCATGCACTGCCTCAAGGGCTCCCCACGGCAGCCTTGGCAGGTGGGTATTATCATCTGCACTTAAGACTCGAGGAAACAGGATGCACGCTTAAGCAGATTCACCAGTATCCCATCCCATGTCTCGCACCAGCTCCTGCCACAGGCTATCTCCCTCCCAGTCCACGTTGGACTCGGGGGCAAAGCCGCAAAGTCAAGTTACTCTAGAGCCACAATGATTCCACAGCTTTGATTCCATTCCAACCCCAAAAGCAGAGGTAGAGGAGGTTCCCAAACTTCCAGGTTAAACCTCTCCTCCTAGGGGTTGAGAAAGCGAGACGGAAAGGAATGTGTCCAGAGCGGCGCCGCCTGTCCCTGAAGCTTTTTGCAAACAAAAGAGTGCACTCTTCAGCGGACCAACGACCATGTCGGATTCGTCCTCCTTGGGCTCAGTCTGGAGCCCCCTCTCTCCCCCAGAAGACCCCCTGTGCACACCGGCTGCAGACCTGACGTCCGTGCAGGGCGCTCCCAGCCCACCTCTCCCTGAGCTCCAGCCTCGCTCGGGCGATGGGTGCTGGGTAGCCGCAGCGGGCATCTCGCACTGCAGAGGAGGCCTCCCGCAGCGCCCGACCAGCCTGCGCCATCCGTGCTCCAAAGGGGCTTGGGTCCCCAGGTGCTCAGGCGAAAACCCTGGTGAGTGGCCGAGACTCCCCTGCCCCCCTCCCTTCCCCTCCCTCCCCTCCCCCCCTCCCCCAGAGTCCAGCCGCCAGGGTCTCCCACTCCACTGCTGCCAGGCTCCCGAGTTTCCAGGGCCTGGAAACTTCCCCACTCGTACTCTCTGTTCTGAGTCAGAAGCCTGACATGGGGGTGGGCCAAGGGGGGTGGGGGGGGTGGTTCTTGACTCTTCTGTGCCTCCATCACCACATCGGCTTCCCTGGATGTCTGTGCTGCTTCTGTCTGTCTGTCTCAACTCTTTCTCTAGGACACCTCTCATTGCATTCAGGGCCCACCCACATAACCCAGGATGATCCCCCCAAGATCCTCAACCTAATTACATCTGCCAGGACCCCACTTCCAGATTCACAGGCTCCAGGGATTAGGATGCAGACATATCTTTTCAGGGGTCACCATTCAGCCCACTGCGGTGCCCCTACACCTGATGTCCACAGGCCAGACTCACGGTCACGGACACCGGGGTCTCCCTCAGACGCAGACACGCACACAGGCAGCCATGTGACATGCAGTCTTGCACACACACAGACACGTCCGTGACACGGGCAGACACGTAGCGACACGCCCGTGACACACGTGGATGTGCACACACACTCACACACATTCAGCTCCCACTCACTGACTCCCAGAGTCACGCTCTTCTCGAGAGACCACCTAAAAGTTCCACCGCCACACCTTGGGCCCCAGGGGATGATCTGAAAACGCCAAGCATGAACCAAAGCAGTAAGTCTCTCCTGACCTTTTCTTTCAGTTCTACAAACTTGACCTCACACATTCCACTAACTTTCCAGTTGGCCAGGGTGCTGGGAGGGGGCGTCTGGAATCACCCTGCAGTGCTGCTGGCCAGCAGTGAAGACGGTAGCAAGCCGCTGCTTCTCTGAGCCGCAGTCTCCTCACCTGTGAGCTTAGCACTCAAGGGCCAGTTGGGCAGTCCGTGCACTGCACGAATGCACCCTGCTAGCAGAGCAAGTAAAAGCTCCAGTTCAGCCCCGCCTTCTCCCTCCAAACCACGAGTCGGGGCCAGGGCAGGGCAGCCTTCCTGGGTGCTCTGGCCCCACACACACCAAGCTGCCTCATGCGCAACAGGGCTGGGAGTCACAGGACCACTGCTACCTGTGAGCCAAAGACGTAGAAGCCGCACTCAAGTGCGAGAGAAAAAGACCCAACGTCCACGAAGCCAAGAGGCCCACGGAGGGATGCGCGACGTTACGAGTCGCCACGGGAGTGCAAATCTCACAGCCATCTCACACCTGCTAGGACAGCGGTAATCGAAAAACAGGAAACAGCAGTTCCTGGAAAGGGTGCGCAGAAAGCGGGACCCTCACGCGTGGCTGGTGGGAATGGGAAATGCTGCGTCTGCTGTGGGACCGCTTGCTGACTCCTCGAATAGCTAAGCCCCAGGAGCCCCGGCGCCCCCACTGCCGGGAAGACCCCCAAAGACCTGGACGCAGGGCCTGGAGCAGATGCCCGTACGTGAACACTCACGGCGGCACGAATCACAGTCGCCAAAAGGTGGAAGCAATCCCGATCTCTACCGACAGGTGAGCGCATAGACCACGTGTGGTCTGCTCACCAAATGGAGTCTTGCTCAGGCTTAAAAGGCAGGGCAGTTCTGACTACACGCAAGGGCCAGAGACAGGAGGCTGACGGGTGGTGCGGGGGGCAGGCGCAACGGCCGCACGGGGCTTCCTTCCGGGGGTGCCAACGGCCAACGAGACGGCGGGGACGAGGCACCGAGTATACACAAACGTGTACTTGGACATGGCCGCAGCGGTGAATTTTGTGACGAGTGTCTTGCTCCCCTTGACGGGACAAACACGGGAGCCTGAAGGTCCCCACGAAGGAGGCGCGAGCCCGCGCCGGCCCTCACCTCGTCGTCATGGACCAGCTCCTTCTTCACCACCTTCATGGCGTACATCTGGTCGTTCTTCTTCAGCCGCACCAGGAGGACCTTGGCGTAGCTCCCGCGCCCAATGACCCGAATCAGGTCAAAGTCCTGCAGCCCGAGCCCCTGAGATATTTTGATTCCATCCATCCCGTCGATAACCGGCTTGAGGTCCTGAGGGCGAGACAGAACGTGGGAAAGGGCGGGACCCCTCCCCGCGGAGGGTGACGAGTCCCTGCGCGTGGCCTGGAGCTCAGGGCACGATTCTGCTCACGGGCCCCGACTCTGTGCCCCGAAGACCACCCCAGTCCCACCACTCTGAAAGCCCGTCATTTCTGCAGACCGTGGCCCAGTCGCCAGCCACAGGCGGCCCTCTGTGGGCACGTGGGTGACGGGGGCCGGCCTCCCCAGGACAGGCTCCCCCAAGGGCTACAGAGAAGAACTAGCTGAGATCGGCAAAGCACCGAGGTCGGACTCCTGGAAATACATAATGAAACAGAAAGGTGATCCGATTAAGAACAGAAGCCTCCCTCCTAAGAACTGTCTCTGGCAAGGGTATCTGTAGGGGAAGCAGGGGGTAACTAAGTGCTCCTGACTCATCCCAGACAGGGAATGACCAGGAAGGAAAGTCAGGAAGTCTGGGCGCCATTTATCAGGTACTCTGGGAAAGCTGTGGTCCCAGCAAGGCAGAGCTGTCCTGAGGTTTTGTGGACGGAGGCTGCAAACTGGAGTCTGTGTGACTTCTCCTCACTCACTGGAATCATCTGATGCCCCACCGACCGCCCAGAGCCGGCCACACACAGGGCCGAGCCGAAAATCTCAGTCCAAAGCCGGGGTGGAACACAAAAGGGCAGCAGCAGGTTTCCCGGGACAGAAGGAGTAAATCGTGACCCTGGGATTTATACTGACAAATATGTTGGTCTCAGCCCCATTCCTGGCACGGAGTTCCCAACACCCCTGGAGCTCCCCACCTCACAGAAAATGCATTTTTTTATGTTAATGAGACAACTTTTGAGAAGCCCAGGCCACCTAACGATGGAGGTGATTACCAACCCCTGCTTATTATAGAGCGTCAGAACTCAGCCTCACCCCCTGACCTCCGGGGAGGGGAGAGGGGCCGGGGTTGGGCCCATTCTCCAATGGCCAAGGCCTCATCAGTCACGCCCCTGTTACGAAGTCTCCACACAAACCCAAAAGGACCACGTCTGGAGAGCTTCTGGTTGGTGACACGGGGAGCTGGCCTGGACGGAGCACGGACACCCCGCCCCCTTCCCCCAGCCCTGGCCCCGTGCACCTCCTCCATCCGGCTGTTCCTGAGTGATCTCCTTTTATCACAAACCAGGAATCCAGGAAGCAAAATATTTCCCTGAGGCCTGTGAGCCGCTTTAGCAAATTAACTGAACCCAAGGAAAGGGTCGTGGGAACCCCCGATTTACAGCTGGTTGGTCAGAAGCACACGCAGGTGGCCGGCCACCTAGATGCGTGAATGGTATCTGAGCCCTTCCCTTTGGGGTCTGACACTAGCTCCAGGCAGAGGGGGGTCAGAATGCAGCAAACTGTAGGACACCTGGTCAGGGTCCCCCAAGACTTGGAGAACTGCTCGGTGGTGTGGAAACAGTACAACAGACAAATCAAGGGAGGGTCTGATGCAAATAAAATCGGACAAAAGGTGCAGCTCAAGACCCGTAAGCCCTGGGCCCACTCCACTGTCTGGACAGAGAGGGGGCACTGGGGAGACTGAGCCCGCAGCAGGTGTTGCCACATCTGCGCCCCAAAGAGCCTCTGGGGGATTCATAAAGGACGTGCCCCAGCAAGACTGAGCCATGACAGGCCAGCAGCCTGTTTTCTGCAGGCAGGTTCTGGGCCGGCGCCCACCCACTCCTCACTGTCCCCCAACAGACTAACTTCGCCATACTGCATACCCCGTCCCCCAAAGCCAGAGGCCCCGTGCCCCACGCGGGCAGTGCCAACATCCTGCTGCTTCCTGAGGTGCCAATTTCCCAGTGACGGGAACGCCTGTCCTGTGACAGGAGACAGGAGAAAACGCAACGTTTGAACCTTAGGAGTGAGGGGAGAACAAGTCACTAGCAAATTCAGCAAGAGTCTATCAATCTACCTCTGACCCTGGACCGCCCAGCCATAAACATGCCCGAAAGAGGACAAAGGGCAAGAACAGTCCAGGGTGATTCCTCCACGTGGACCCCGGGAGACAATAAAAAGCTAGCGACCCCACCTGCCAGGGACCAGCTATCCCTCCTTTTCTCAAAGCCGAAGAGCATGGGGGCTCCCTTGTGGGGGTGGGGATGGCCTGTGCCACCCTGGACCAATGCGGAAAGAGCCCCACCACTGATTGGTGTCGTGGAAAGCTTCCTGTGTGTGCCAGGAGTGATCATTATCCAAACTGGACGGAAGAGGATCCTGAGGTCAGAGAGGTCCCCTGACCCAGGCTCACACCAGCCTGCGGCCTGGGCTCACACAGACCTGGCCAGTGACACCTCATCCCCCAGTTCCCCGTCGCTGAGAGAACCATGCAGTGAACGCTGCACCCTCACGTCTGCCACTGAGCAGTGGCTCCTGTCAGCCACACACGCTCGCTCTCTGTCCACCTAATGCTCTGGAGATCCCTTCTGCGCGAAACGCCAGAACCTCCGTGGGACTCCATCCTGAAGCCCTGAGTGAACGTCGCCCTAGGTGTCCCTCGCTTACGGTGAGGTTAGACAGGTTAGCATTCCCAAGCCTGTCTGGTTCCTATTTAAATTTCCATAACTGCCCCAGAAACGAGCTAATGAACTTATAAAAAAAAATTGGAAACACTAACGAGCCATCTTATTTACTCACCTCAGAATCATCTTTAATGTTGTCATGTTTCCGGCTTGAAGAAATATAAGCAACTAGTGAAGAGAGAAAGAAAAAACAGGGCATTCTAGGCATTGTCAGGAATGGAGCCTGACACACAGGGGAACCCAGGGCCCCTCGATCCTCTGGAGACACCGGTGGCCCAGGCCAAGTCTGCAGCATTCAGGGCGAATCACGGAGTGGCCACAGCTGACCGCACAGTCATAAGAAAATGCAGCTTCCTGGTCCCACCCAGACCTGCTGACTCTCCACCTCTGTGGGTGGAGCCTGGGAACCTGCATTTGTGACACATGTTCTCAGCGATTCGTGTGGAAGCAACTCTTCAAGAAGACTGTGGTATTTAGCTTTCCAGACACTGTTCTTAGAGTGTGCAGATGGATAGGTGGGCAGGCGGGCAGAAGAGGGGATGGTGGAGGGATGGATGGTGGAGGGATAGATGGATGGATGGGTGGATGGGTGGATGGACAGACGGACGGACGGAAGGAAGGAAGGAAGGAAGGAAGGAAGGAAG